GTTAGGCTTAGCCCTAGGATTAGTGTTAGGGTAAGGGTTATGATTATGGTTACAGCTAGTGTTAGGTTTAGTGTTAGGTTTAGCGTTAGGATTAGTGTTAGGGTTGTAGTAGAGCTATGGTTGTGGTAGGGTTAGGGTTAGGGTTAGGGCTATGGTTATGATTAGGGTTAGGGTTAGAGTTATGGGTTAGAGTAATTGTTTCAGTAAGGGTAGGTTTAGGTTTAGGCTTAGGGTTAGTGTTATGGTGTTTTGTTTATGGTTACGGCTATATTTACGATTAGTGTTAGGATTGGGTTTAGGTTTAGACTTAGTGTTTCTGTAAAGGTAGGGTTAGGTTTAGGCTTAGGATTGGTGTTAGGGTAAGGGTTACTGTTAGGCTAAGCGTTAGTATTAGGGTAGGGTTTGAGTTAGAGTAGGGTCATGGTTATGGGTTAGGGTTAGGATTATTAAGGTTATTATTGAAGGCTAGGCTTCATTGTTGGGTTAGTGTTTAGTGTTAGGTTTAGGGTAGGCTTAGAATTAGTGTTAGGGTTAGGGCTAGGTTTTATGTTCATGCAAGGGATAGGGTTAGGTTAATGGTTAGTGTAAGGGTAGGGTTACTGTTAGGATTAGGAAAGGGTTAGCTTTATTTAGGGTTAGGGTTAGAGTTAGGTTTAGGTTTAATGTTAGGTCATCAGTGTTCAGGTTAGGGTTTTTGTTAGATTTAAGGTTACTGTTAACGTTAAGATTAGCTTTTGTTTTATGGTTAGGACAAGGTTTAGGTTTAAGTTTAAGCTTAGTGTTACAGTTACATTTAATGTTAATATTAGAGTTAAGCTTTGTGTTAGTTTTAGAGTGAAGTTTAGGGTTACTATTATTGGCTAGGGTTAAGGTGTGAGACAATGTTAGGGCTATGATTTAGGATTAGGCCAAAAGGGTTTGAATCCATGTGGTCGATGGGATGTTTAAGGGTTTTAGGGGAGTGCAGTGGCTTAGATTTGGCATTTGTATGGATGTGACCTTGGATGTTGCCATGCCTGGTGTCTGGGAGTGTCACTACTCAGAGTTTGGGACTTTCCCTGGGACAGAGCATTCTGTGTGTGCTGGGGTCTCCACCTTGGAGTTTGGGCTTTCCCAGGGGGTATTCAGTGGGCTTTTAGGGTATGGAGGTCTGGGGGGTGTAGTCCGGGTGTTTGTCCGCCAGCAGACACCTCCCTGGGGATGAGCTGTGGTGACACTGCCACCCATTGGTGACATGGGGACACACAGATGGGGAATCAGACCTTCCTGGGTGCACAGGTGTGGGTGTTACCTTTGGTGTCACATTGTCCCTAAGGGGTGAGGACACAAAAGAGGTAACCCCATGGTCAGGAGGAGCACCTATAGGTGCCAGCATCAGCCGGGGTCACCCCAAAGAGGATGAAGGTGGCTGTGCTCACACCATTGTGGTCCTGATGCTGGACAGGGGTTCTGCACTACTAATCCCCGTGGCACCACGTCCCCATTGTCACTCACTGAGAATGGGGGCCACCACCATTGGTGCCATGAGGCTGGAGCAGCCCGGGGACAAATAAATTGGAGGCATTACTTTTGGAATGACCCCCATCCCAGCATCCCAAGGCACTGCCATGGCACTCAGCGCAGCCAAGGCACAACCTGGGGTTGGGAGCTCATATGGGGTCATGCTGTGGGTCCTGACAGCTATGGGGTAGGACGAAGGGGGTCTGTAGGTGGTGGTGGGTCCTTCCTGGGGCGACCCATGTGTCAGGGCCTTGGGGACCCATATGTGGTCATTGAGTCTCCAAATCTATGAGTCAAGATGTGGGTCATAGCTTTGTCAGACAAGAGGTGGTTGTGGGGCCTCCAAATCTGTGTGGTGTGCTGTGGGAAAGGGTTTTGGAGGTCCACAGTCATGGTGGACGATGACAATGACAATGACGGTGATAAACAAATCTATGGTGCAAGATATGGGGAAGGTGGTTGTGGTCTCCAAATCTGTGGAGTGAACTATGGGTCAGATGGGTCAGGGTTTTGAAGACCCATTCATGTTCATTGTGTTTCCAAATCTATGAGGTGTTCTATTGGGAAGGGTGCTGGACATCCATAGGAGGTTGAAGGGCCTCCAAAGCAGTGGGGCCATCTATGGGGCAGGTGTTCCCCAAGTGTTCCCCCCAAATTTTCTCCTCAGCCTCAAGTAGTAACTCCCCTCCCCCAGGGTGTGTCCCTGCCCCATAACAAAGGACAAAGGGCTTCTGGGAGGAGGGAGGGGGTGTCACTCCCCACCTGTGGCCCCACCCCCAGGAGTGTCCCTCAATAGTCTATGGGATGAGACACAGTGCCCCACAGACACTGGGGTGAGCAGTGGAGGTGAGCACTCGGGGAATTTCTAGGGGTTTGTGGGATGTGGGGCATTCATGGCAATGGCAATAGGGGAGGGATGGAGAGTCATGGGGTTATTGGGAGGGATATGGGATCATGGAGGTATGGGGTGGGATGTGGAGTTATGCAGTTATGAGTTTGGGGATATGAGATCATGGTGCAATGGAGCATGGTATGGAGTCATGGGGCACTATGTGGGGCTATGGGGCAGTATATGGGGCAAGAAAGCAGGAGAGCTATGGAGTGGGATGGGGATGAGGGGGCTATGGGGGCAGTTATGGGGTATTGGATGGGAGGCTCAGTGCCCTGCCCCCACCTCTGCCCCCATCACTGAGCAGGAAATGCAGGAATTAACCAAATTAAAAACAAATGAGGGCAGCACTCTCCTATGGGTGTGGAGGAAGCTGTGGGACCTCACTCCATAACCCCATGACTCCACATCGTACCCCATAACCACGTCAACCCCTGTTCCTGCCCCACAGCCCTGCAACCCCATCTTCCACCCCATGGCTCTGTGTCCCACAATCCTGCTGCCTTCCCTCCCGCCATCCTCATCCTCATCACTTTGGGAGTGATATGAGGCCATAACCTGCCCCGTGATCCCATATCACACCACATAACCCCTAATCTCACCCCATGTCCTGTCCCATAGCCCTGTGTCCTGCTCCACAGCTTTATGTTCCTCAGCTCCAGAGCCTTCCTCCTGCCATGCTCGTCCTCATGTATTTGGGGGTACTAGGACTACGTATACCTTCCCACAACCCCATATCACACCCCATCAGCCCATATGTCACCCAACTGCCCCCTATCCTGCCCCACATCTCCACATCCAACCCCATAGCCTAATTTCCTGTCCCATAGCCCTATGATCCCATAGCTCTGTAAATCAACATATTGCCCTACACTGCCATTAGTGCCACATATCCCTGCCTCATAGCCTACTGACTCCATAGTCCAACCCATAACTCAGGTATCACCCCTTAGCCCCTCTTATAGACTCAGTTTGATACCATGTCCCATTCCATTGCACCAGTATGACCCCATATCCTGCCCTACAGCTCTGTGTTCCTCAGCCCTGCAGCCTTCCTCTTGCCATGCTGCTCCTCATCATCTACGCGCTGACCTTCGCTGTGGGTTTTCCTGCCAACGTCTTCACCTTCATCATCCTCCTCACCAAAATCCGATGTCACTGTCCTCATCCCCAGCTCACTGCTGCCGACCTCCTCCTCCTCCACCTCAACACCGCCGACCTCCTCGTCCTCTTCTTCCTCGCCTTCAAGATGGCTGAGGTGGCTGCCAACATGCTGTGGCCCTTCCCCAAAGTGCTCTGCCCCATTGCAAACTTCTGCTTCTACTCCAGCATCTACCTCAGCACTCTCTTTATGGCTGCCCTCAGTGTGGAGCGCTACTTTGGGGTTGTGTTCCCACACCGCTACAGCCGGCGCCGGAGGTTATGGCGGACGATGGCCGCCAGCGCCGTCCTTTGGGTGATGGCATTGTCCCATTGTTCCATCGTCTTTGTGGCAGAGTATTACAGAGAGTTTGGGGTCAATGGCTCTGAGGCTGATGGGGAACGTGGTCTTGGGTTCAATGAGATCAAGACCTGGGGATCGGTGATGGACAACTCCACTCATGTTGACCCCACTGTGCTGAAGATGGACAACTCCCCTTGTTTTGGGGTCAGTGGATTCCAGCCTGGGGGATTTGAGTTGACCAAAGCTAATGGCATTGACACTGATGTCCCCAACACCTCCA